GCTGTGACCAAAGAAGCAGTACCTGTAGCCAAAAAAAAGGAGATTTGAAAAACATTCTTTCAAAAAGAGCAAAACACAAGATGATCATGTAAAAGCATGTAAACTCTCTATTGAAGGAGAGATTAAAGACCTTTCTCCATCCCACCTACTTTCTGTAAGAATTGAGAAATAGTTTGTCCTAACTTCAAAGTCAAATTAATATCAACTGCGAAGGCAACATTTCTTAAGTTACTCCCATATGTTTAAGGCCTTCAGCATCTTTTAAAATTCAAATGAAACTCATAATCAATTTAAACAGTAAAAAAGCAGAATATGTAAAGAGCATCTCCATGTGCTCACCCAGTTCCACATTCTGGCCAATCAATATATTTACAACCACTGAGTGCATCCTCTAAGTCTTCAACCTGGGAATGTGGGTTTATATACAGAAATGACATAAAGTCAGACTAGCTGTATAAGAAAACAGTTGTGGCCTTTTTCTATTATTCAGAATCACTCATTTTCCCCCCAAATACATTGAATCTAAGTTTAAAATATTTTGCATTTTTATAAATGTGTCTTAACCCTTCTTTTCTGTACCCAAGGTAAGATATAAACAAAGAGATGTCATTTGGGACTAGGATTAGGTATAATCTGTAGGCAGTTTTTACAGTTATAGGCCAGTATGAGCTCCAGGGAGTCCGAGCTCAAGAAACAATTTGGTGGCACTCTCATTTTCTATGGGACACAACTAATCCCAAGCAGCTTGACCTTGGAGCCCAGAGGACTCAACTTGATGAAGAGCTTAGTTGGAGCTGAAGTGGCAGAGACCAAATGAATCATATCAAGTGTGACCATTATGGGGCTGCAGATGATTCCTAATTAATCTTTGATTCTCTGAGGTATCACATTTCCCAAATCTGTGTGTCCATAAGGGAGCCAATAAAAATATGAAAGTGGCAATTTACCTAATCCTTGAGCACTAGGCAGGCCGTCTACTTATGAAGGCCTGTCATTTTCCATTCTACACAAAAAATAATTGTCTACCATTTTCTTAACCAAAGAGAAATAATGTGGGCAAACTAAATAATTTAAAAGTCTTATTTTGATGGCTTCTATTAGCAGTATATATACTATTTCAGGAATCCCTCAAGATGAACTATTTTATTATTTTTTAAAAATATATTTTTATTGATTTCAGAGAGGAAAGGAGAGGGATAGGAAGATAGAAACATCTATACATATAAAAGGCTACTATGCAAAGTGTCCCCTTGGGAGTTCGACCAGGAGACTGGGAGTTCGATCGCTCGCTATGATGTGCGCTGACCACCAGGGGGTGGCGCAGAATGAAGGAAGGCCCCGGCCAGCAGCCCCAAGGCCCCGATCGGCCCTGATCACTGGCCAGGCCTAGGGACCCTACCTATGCACAAATTTCATGCACCAGGCCTCTAGTCAATGATGAGAGAGAATCACCACAAGCTGCCTCCTGTATGCCCCCCACTGGGGATGGAGCCCACAACCAGGGCATGTGCCCCTGACCAGGAATCTGTGACCTGGTTCATAGGTCGATGTTCAACCACTGAGCCAAGCAGGCCAAACAAGATGTACTATTTTAAAACCTGTTTTCTCACATGTTGAAATCTTGAGAAGAGATACCAAACTGACTTCTGTTAAGAAGCAATGGCATAAAGCATTTTATTGACTTTCCATTGCCGTAAGAGTCAAATGTCCTACAAATCTGAACACTCTACCTCTCCATTCTTTTTAATAGGCATGTCCAGACATCCTCCTGCTCCTGAGATCCCTACCTTTTACCCGCTGTCTCCGGGTGGAGTTGGGCAGATCACCCCACCGCTTGGCTGGTAAGATCCTCCCTGCGAACTTCAGCCAGGCATTTGAACATGTTCTACTTCCCATTCATGGCAGTCAGCTTGATGAATGATAACACTTGTGGAGTTGAGGAAATTTTAAAACAACAAGCAAGGTGCTAGCTTTATTTCATTTCAATTTAAAAGATTGAAAAAACATACAGACATTGAAATCAATTGAACCCGTTTGCTTATATGTATAGAAAATGACTGTAGCATTTGCTTTGAAGCCTATAGTTTTATGGATTCAATTTGTGGTTTGGGGCATGTGCTATGCCTGTACAAAGTGCTCGGTGTGGTTTTCTTTTCTGTTTTTTTTTTTTTTATGAAAACATATATTTGAAGAAAACAGACACATTGAATATCTATATACTATCTTTGCTTATAAATGGCAAGTGAGGTAAATGACAAACAGGGAGAAATTTAAAAATACAAAAACATCTTTTGAATTTTAATGTAAGTTCCAGCTTGAGTTCAGAAAAGCAAAAAAAAAACCCTAATGTTTGGGCTTTTTATTTTCCAGAATTCAATTGCTCCTTGTTATTTATAAAAAATCCTTAACTGCTGCCTTGAAAGTTTTCTAAATTGTAAAGGTAAAGGAAAGAAAATATATCTTAGGAAGAAGGATTTTCTTTTCTATAGTGTAGCTTATGTTTATCATTTCATTGTGAGCACACAACTTTCCCCGCTCCCACTCCATCCCTTCTCCATTCCTGCCCTCCCCACAGCACTCTATGGAAACAGTGCTCCAACTTTGGCAAAAGTTTTCCCTCCTTTCTTCAGCGGGTTCTCTGTCCCTCGAGCCCCCAGGCCATTGCCCCGTCTCCCTACCTTGGCATCCTTACATTATCTCTTTTTCAGCAAGAAGGGGTTATCCTGCCATGGGAATTTCCACTTACTCTGTAGTACTAGCCCTCTCATCAATAACTGTTTGCATTTAATTGATTATGTGTACATGTTCAGTCCTACACAGTCATTCTGTCAGAACTTAGCTACTTAGGGGCAATAATCCTGTGCTGCCTGTGTCAGTGGCAGCTGGAAATAAAGACTGTGTAAGTGGAAAATGTGAGATGTGGGAAAACTGGGAGAGATGGACTTGTCAGAGTGCGGGAAGATAATTCCATTGAATTGCTCTCCTGCGGGGGGGGGGGGGGGGGGGGGGGGGGGGGGGGGGGGGGGGGAGTGCAATGGCTTTAAAATACTTATTCCTTTTTATATAAATATGAAGTTGTATTTTTTTCTTCTTTTTCCTAAAATTGTCAAAGATTCTGATAGAGAATCCACTAACCTTCTCTGAAAGGATTATTTCACCATCCTCAGGGTTGTGTTATAGTTAATAAACATTTGACACATGCCCACTTTGTTCAAAACATGAATGGGGTTGGAAGAGGGGAAGGGATAAAAGACAGGTAATTCATGGACTAGTTTGTTTTTCACGTTGAAGGTGGGAGCTTTTCTTCAAGGCAAAAGATACTTTGATTGGGTGGAGGGTAAGGAAGGGAAGCAGTTGGATAACTGAAGAAATGCCATGGTCTGTAATAAAATTCCTATTTGAATGCCTCCCTCTTCTCTCCTCATCAAACTCTGACTGCTGGTTGGTTACTCATGTTTTGTCATTGATGGGCTCCTTTCTTCTGTGACCTCAGGCAAGGTCAGCCTGTATATCCCATCACGGGAGGATTCAGGCAACCCTACCCATCCTCACTGTCAGTCGACACTTCCATGTCCAGGTAGGTAGAGGTGGAAACTGGGCACCCAGGACGAGCTGCTCTTCTGCGCTTGCATCTTGTGCGCCTCTGCTTGCCTCTGGTCGGTTGGCTAGGAGGGTGCGTAGCTCAGCCCCGCGTCTGTCTGCGCAGTGTGCCTGGCTCCCACACTAGGTGTCCTAGAGATTCCTGGGTAGGAGCCTGACTCTGCGCCCCAACAGCCAGCACCAGCCACACCCGCCAGCGGGAGGCACTCGGCCACGCGGGAGACTGTGCCTCCAGAAGACCCCGATGCCACCCGGCAGCAGGATGTGAAATGTCCTGAAAGTGGACAACCTACGCTTGTTTTACTCATAATACTCTGGGGGTGTGGTAAGGGTGGGGAGATAAAGACTGGTTTGGTTTGAGTTCCATCCTTGACTTTCTCTGAGGAAAGTTGGATCCATTTAATGTGACAGTGTTTGAAAATGCCCAGATAGTCCAGAGCCTCCTGGACCAAGGCTGTCAGAAGAGCCCTCGCTCAGCCTGGTGGAGGGCGGGTCCTAGTGTGTGAATCAGGCCCTGTGGGGACGCGGTGCCAGCGCAGCTCTGGGCGGCCGCGCCCCCCTGCTCTGTGGGACGCTTGCTTCTGGACAGGATGGCTTCTGTGCCTGTGCTTGATGTACACACCCGTGAGGTGTGGCATCTGTGTTCCGTGTCGCTTTCCCCAGGGAGCATTGTCGTGCCGGAAGTCAAGCTTTGGGGCTCGTCACTGGTCATGAATCTTTACTTTTTATGTAGGTATGAAATTCGCAGTTTGTGTAGTGAATTTCAGCTTTTTGAAAAAACATTATTTTTACAAACAAATTGTAAATCCAGCTCGTTGGAAGGGGATGAAATTAATATCCTTCCCCCCCCACCCCCCAAAATATATTTCTACACTTTTTAACACTGTAAGAACTATCTGATGACAGGAGTTTCTCCCAGGCATCATGTATTTTTGCAAATGGTGCATTTAGCAAAGCATTATTATTTGATCAACTATTTGTGTTTTTACCATGCCGCCTTAATTTAAAAAAAAAATTGTTTCTGAAATATTACATATCCAAGCAGAGTTCCTTCTTTCCTTCCCAGATGAAGGAGTACATTGTACCGGCTGTGATGAAAGACCTGGAATGTTGTTCTTGCTGAGTTGTTTACTTTAAAACAGTTTAAAAAGCAAAGATTTCTAAAGCAGACGCAAATTTATCCAACGTGCTTGTTGAAAGTAGCCTTTATTTATTTTATTTGTCTTGCATGGCAGTTTCCCTCCTTTGTGTTGGATGGTGGTGGATATTTTAAGATGTTTTTACACTCTGCAAGCATACTCGGGGAAAAGCCTTTGTTTAGCGTGTGTAGTTTTTGCCTTGATGTAGAACTGTATGTGTTCTTCCCTTTGATTAAACCCTTCCCTCCATTATGTTACCAGTTTTCCATAAGGTGAGATCTCTTAAACATTCTTTCTGTGTAGAAAATTACTCTGGATGACAAGGGCAACCTTATTAAATTGGGGACTGAAAAATACCTTCCTGTCCCTGATTTTCTCAATTGTTCTCTCCGAGAATTAGTAAAGAAGCCAACAATGTGAGAAGACTTGTATTGTGATGGTTTGGTTGGGAACATCGGCAGAGTTTTTTAAATGTGATTTCTTTAGCTTTCATTTAAAAACCTTTGAAAAGCTAAATCTTACTTGTTATATTTCCAATAAAATTGTTCTTAATAAAATTATTTGAAAACTGCTTTGCAAGTAAAATGACTCAATTTCTTTTTAATCCTATGGCCTAGAGCTGTCCCAGGAAAAATGCCAGATTCTACTATTAGTTTGGGGAGAGAAAGTTGTTACACAGGGAATAATTATAAATATTTTCCACCTGAACACAGAAAGGAAAGAAATTGTCACCTGTTGTCATTTATAGGTAATACTCCTGTGGACAACTGCCAATAGCAGTTGGTGGGTTGTTGCAAAACGCCATCTAGCTTTGGCTGCAGCGGCCTCTAGTGCGGATTGTTTCTTCTCTTTCCTCCTCTAGGTTTTCCCATCACATGATTCCTGGCCCTCCGGGTCCCCACACAACTGGCATCCCTCATCCAGCTATTGTGACGCCTCAGGTCAAGCAGGAGCACCCCCACACTGACGGGGACCTGATGCACGTGTAAGTGTGCGAGAGCCTGACGATGCTGCCATGTAGACAGTTTCTTCCTCCCAGTTGCACCTTCCCCTCTCTTTATTATGGAAATCAGTTAGCTCAGCTTCCTGTGGACTTTTAGTGGGCTTGATTCTCACTGCCAACTAACTTTGATTTTGGCACTGGAAAGGAGCACAGACCTCAGTAGATCAGGGGAACCTCGCCGAAATGGAGTCATCTTCAGAGCACGGGCACTGGGTAATCTTGAGCTGTGCAGCCACTTACTGCCCGATTTCAACTGGTTCTGATTGTTGGGGACCCAGCCCCCGATGATACCTGAAAAGGACTGGGGAGTCCAGTGCCCGCCCAGGATGCAGTTTTCCTGTTTTGAGGCTTTAAAAGCATAGAAGTCCAGGGAAGGGGGCAACCCACACCCAGGATTGTATCAGGCTGTCACAGCAAATTCCTTGAAGAGGAATTTGCAGACTGGGAGGATGGGGTGGCAGGAAGCAGGAGATAGTCCATAAATGCCCTCCAATGTGGGCAAAGCCAACAAGCATTTGTTTTGGGGGAGAGAGGCTGAAGTTTCATTAGGGTCTCAAAGTGGCCCTTGGCCCTCCTCCCAAACGTTAAGAACCTGACTTCTGAAAGAGGAGTGACCACTTACACTGTAGGTTCCGCTTTTCCTGAGGTGACCAAGGAGCTGGGCCTCAGGGCCCTAACTGGAGCAGCAGTATACACCCATTTCCACTTGGTGTTCACACTTCCGTTGCTCCCGGGGAACTTTCTCAAACCTAAGGGTACTCCCTCACAAAGGGTTGCTCTTCTCCGTTGATGGTGTTCCAGGCTTGTAGAGTTTGCTGTGTAACCAGATGCTCTGCTACTGTCCACCCATCTCTTCCTTCTTCTGCCCACCCCTCCCCCAACACCACGTCCCCCTTTCAGGAAGCCTCAGCACGAACAGAGAAAGGAGCAGGAGCCCAAAAGACCTCACATTAAGAAGCCTCTGAACGCTTTTATGTTATACATGAAAGAAATGAGAGCAAATGTGGTGGCCGAGTGTACTCTGAAAGAAAGTGCAGCCATCAACCAGATCCTAGGCAGGAGGGTAAGTAGTGGGATGGCAACTCCGTGTTGTGGGACGGGGGCTGCTTCATTAGAACCTGCCCAAATGTACTTGCATGTGAGGTGGTCATCGGATGCACAGGGGCCATCACCAGCCACTCTGGGAAGTAATCAAGAGAACAAGCTGTGGTGATAACTTTTCCGAGGATTAAATGCTATAATGCATTACCAACCACCTAGGCTGTTTTTCCTGTTATCACTCTTAAAACAAGTACTTGTTGTCTTTTGTGTGCCAGGCAATGAGACAATAATTGCTGAATAAAATAGATATGGTTCTTGTCTTCATGGAGTTTAAAGTTTTGTGACAGGATACAGATATTAGGCAGCTAATTACCTGATACATGTATAATTAAAATTGTGACAAATACTGTGACTATGAAGAATAAGATTCTATGAGAAAGAATAATGGGGCTAGGAGAAGGGCCCCTCTGAGAAAATAGTATTTAAGCTGAGACCTGAGGGATGCATAGGGGTTAATCACGTGTGTGAAGTCCGGTCTGAAACAGGAGAGCATTGATCCCACATAGGGAGCAACGAAAAGGCCTGGGACAACCCGCATGAACCTGGCAGATGCTGGTCACTTTTTCTAAGGTAGAAGCAGATCTGTGCTACTCAGAAGCTTTGAGTGGAAGAATTTATATGGGCCAGAGAAATCTTTATTCTAGAAAAATCACTGTCTGATTCTCAAAGTGTACATGAGCCAGGTTTCTGGATTGCCCCCCTTTTTCATCATTCTGTCACCTATGCTAAGATATTTTTCTGAGAACATATTATGTACCAGGCACTAGTCTGAGACTAGGACAGATACTGAGATTTTTATATCCAACCACCAGGCAAAAGGCTAGTCAGTTTTTCCAGGGGTTTTTCTCTGGATTGAAATGCTTTTAGTTAGGTATCTGAAGAGTGGTGGGAAAAAATTGAATTTTTAAATTCAAATCACATTTTCTCTGTAATTGCATTATACTTTTAGAAAATGCTTCATCATAGTTGTTGATGCTCTTCATAGATGTGTGGTGGCTTCTAACTATGCAGGTGTATATTTGTTTTTGAACCCTCTCAAGAAATTCGTGATTTGCAAATGAACATTTGATGATGGGGGTCTAGCAACCTTTGTGAAACCTAGAGGACCACGTTTTATCTGCTATTGATTATCTGTTATTGTTTTATCTGCTATTAATTATCATTTTTACCATGTTTGCTACAAACCTAATACATTTTAGCATTCATAAGAGAAAGCATTCAGGAGATTTTAGGCAGAGAGGAGCAGGCTTTCTAGCATTGATTCCTGTTGGATGGCAAAAAAAAAAAAAAAAAATGCAGCTATTTCCAACCTGCAAGACACCAGGGTTTCAGGGTCAGGGTGCAGTGACAGATTATAGCTTTTCGGTGCCCTGTGTACAATACTCTATATGTCCTGTGGATCCTTAAACACTTAATAACAGCAATTACAATGATTTCCCAAGCCGATGAGTGATTTCCATCATCTTTGAAGAATTTCACCTTAAAAGCTTAAAGACTGATGACCATTTCCCCTGACCCTTCAAAAGGAGAAATCAGAGGAAAAGAGGAGTTGTTCTTCTTTCATCTTCTGTAAAACTCCTTGTTTGGTTGTGTACTTTTTTGTTTAGTTTTGTTTTCCTTTTTTGAGTTAAAGGTCCCCTGTCCCTCCAGCAGGGATTCTTTTCCTGCTCAGAAGACTGGGGAAGGCTGTGCTATGGCGGCGTGCTTCCTATTTTTCATGCACGTTTCCCACAATTGCTACTTTCTCAGCTCCCTTAACCATCCCCAGATCAGAGCATGTGTCCTAAGGGATGGTTCTCATTTGGGGTCTCTCTCGGTGTTTGATTTGCACACCTGTTTCTATTTATAGTTTCTGAGATCTCTGATTAAGATCAGGTTTTCTCCCCTTTCATGGCTCCCCTCTGCCAGAGTAGCCCCTGATCCTTCTTCAAGTCCCCGGCTTTACCATCGTGACGTTTTACACTGGGATGATTATAATTCCTAAAAGGGAGCTTAAGTTCATCCCTGAGCATTTTATCTTTGAGTTTTTATACATTTTATTGTCTCTCTAAAGTAGAAATGTCCATGCGCAGGAATTAATGAGTTTTCTTATTATTATTGTAAATAATAACACAAATCTAACTTTAAGATACACTTTTTTTAGATCTTCCAGGCTATTAAAGGGAAGTCCATTTATTACAAATGTATTGTCAGGATTTTAAAATCTTGGAACTGTATACATTTCTTTAAGTTAAGTGGGTATTTTCTCAACAACTTGGTGAAATCTTGACAATGAAATTTAATTTTTAAAAAAATTAACGCAGTTTTTCAGTAAGCAAAAGCAATAGAAAAGCATTTTTTGTCGGGTGTGTTTCAGAAATTCCAGTAAAGAAAGATCATCTTTCTAGTTTGTATTAGACTTTATTTTGTTTCAGTGCAAAATTTTAATACCATTATTTGACCTACCGTTTTTCTCTGGTGAATGATCTTTCATTGTGAGTAGACTTTGAGCATTATAAATATCAGGAAACTAGAAGGAACTAAAAAACGCAAGTAAATGGTTTAATTTATGACCTGCTTTTTCTCCTTGCAGTTTGCTCAGTTTTGTTAGCTCGGGTTTTTTGTCAACCCTAAGTTTTCAGCTTGAACTGAAAAATACCTGGTTGCTTGGGTAGAAGACCCAACTTCCCAAACTTGGGGAAATTGTTTAATAAAACTTATTTCAGGCTTTTTCAGCAAGTTATAAAGCTTCCATAAGTTATATAAAATTATAGTGATATGTTATGGTAGCATTAGAGAGATAGTATTTGTCAAATGAATAAACAAATTTACAAGGTAAGACTTCTTTCGCAACTTTAGTCCCTTTTTGCCTCCTTTTGTGTTCTTCTGTGGTAACACTTTGCCTCCTGCCAGTCACAGTTACTTAATGCCAGAAGCGTGTAAATATTAATGATTAGTCTTTTCTCAAAAAACAAACAAACTACAGCATAGAAAAAAACAATCAAGGCTGCCCTCCCCCCTTGTGCTCAGTTTGTTTGCCTCCCCCTGTGGAGGGCTCTCACCAGGCCAGTAGTGTCTCGGGTTTGGGAACACTGGCCCTTGGCAGGTGCCACGTGACTTTTCTTGCCTGGTCTAAGCTGCCAGGGCTGACCCAGGCCTCTTCCTAGGCGCCTCTCGACTCAGCGTGTTTACTCTGCTAGTACAGTGCACTGGGTCTCAGGTAACTTCCAGGTGTTTGTTTGTTTGTTTGTTTCCTTGTGTCCCCTCCCCCAGTTATTCTTAAGAAAAGCATATTACCTGCTTTAGGTTCAGGCCAAGTCCTGCTGTGTGTCCTGCTTCTTAACTTTATACTCTACACTTCTACAGCAATTAAAAAATAAATCATCTACCCTGTCCAACACAGCGGCCCTGGCTTTTAAGGGGCTTTCAAAGGACACGGACTTAGTTGACCTGCCGGAGGCTGGAGTGGTGGGTGGGATGTGGCAGGAGGGGTGTCAGTGCTCCTCCTGAGATGGGCTTCTCTTGACCGACAAGAGCAGCGGCTGTTTCTGTTTTCCCCGGGAAAGCTTCCTAGCCTGCCTTCAGGGGCCTCCCGTGCTGAGGACTTTCTCATCAGCCTCTCTCGCTCCTTCCTCTCCCCAATCCTGTCTTTTCTTTTTCCTTGTCTTGTCATTAATAAAAAACAAGAACAGGGGAATTAAAGTCAATATTCAGGGTGGACATGAATGAGAAAGACTGGCCTAGCCTTGCATGGAAGGAGTGAACTAGGACGTTCCCTACCCCCGAGAGCTGGGAGAGCAGGCGTGGAGGCTGGGCTGATCCAGAGTGGCCGTGTGCGGGTGTGCCCGTGGACTTAGGTCTGCTCCTGCAGATGCCGCCTCCGTGCCATCACCTCAGGACAGTGGGGGTCCCCCAAAGCTCAGCCAGTCTCCTGGAAGGTTCTGCTGAAAGATCCGGGCACTGAGGAAGTAGGGAAAATATTTGCAACCGCCTACTGGGGGCCTAGGGCAAGTTATGGGCAAATATATGCAGAGCAGTGTGCAAATATAAGCTACTTAAAATCCCAAAGGGATGCCTTGCCCTACATAAGCTATTTTGCCATATACGTATATATCCGTGATGTGAAAGGGAAATGGGAAGTTTGCAAGGTATCAGCCTGTATTCTCCAAAGTAGGTACTATTGCCTCAAATCTAGACGGCAAAGTAAACTTGGATAATGCTCCTTCTTTCCATCAGAAGGAAGCGAAAGCCCAGCACCATGAGGTGTGCGTGTGTGATTGATTGTACAATGTTATCAGTGTTCTCCCTGGAGACAATCAGCGTTTATGTACGTGTGAGGAGAGGGTGAAGGGGCTGGGACAGACTGACTTTTGACGTCTTGCTCTACGGACAGGATCATATGATGAAGGTTTCAGGCTCTTCATATGACAGTGGGCGAGTGCCCGTGCGAAGTGAGGATGTATCTGTGGGAAAGACATCTGGAAGTTATCACATTTTGCATAAATAAGTGGTACTTAGGCTCAGATATCAGAATATGCTACAAACTATGAAGAGGGCTAAATTGGGCGTTGAGGTTCAGCAGTGAAAGTTCTTTTTAATTTGTATTGGAAAAGAGAAAGGGGGGGTGACAGATCCTGTTACTTTGGGTACTTGGGTTGACTTTGATGTGTTTCCTATGATATCAGAGAACAGAACAGAGAGACCGAGGTTTGAGTTTGTCTCCAGCCACCAGACTCCAGCGGGATGTCTGCAGCGCTCGGTCTTCTGCCATTTACAAATAAATCGATGTTTAAGTGCTTAATGTTTTCGTTCCTCGGTGTTGAAAACATGAACTCTATTCTACTGTGCCTATTTTGCTCACTTCAGTTTGTCTCTCCCCCCTCTCCCCCTTTGTTTCAGTGGCACGCCCTCTCCCGCGAAGAGCAGGCGAAGTATTATGAACTAGCGCGGAAGGAGAGGCAGCTTCATATGCAGCTGTATCCCGGCTGGTCGGCGAGAGACAATTATGTAAGGCCCTCTGCTGTCACTCATCCTTTCTTCCCAGGGCTTTCGTGGAGGAAGTGTGTTTCACAGTGTGGCTAATGCTGGTGCTATGTCCTATTTTTGGAAGTTAATGGACTTCATAATGTATCATCACATTTTGAAAGCTTTGAGCCGTCACAATTTCTTTTGGCTATATAAGTGCTAATTTTTTAAATGAAACTTTTTAAATAAATAAAAAAACACCTTATGTTTTCTTCCATACAAAAAAAAATTAAAAGACCTTATTTATCATTAAAATGTTGGCAAAAAAAGATTTTTTTAAGCCCATACACTCATCAGGCTCAGTCTCCCAGCGCCTCCTTAAGAAGACTGCTTGAGTTGAAGAGTTTTCTCCCCTCCAGGGGCTTCTGTTCCCGGCTGGTAATTATAATTAGCATCTTCTGGGCAGAGCCTTTGCCATGCCCTTTAAGTGGGAATCAGCTTCCCGCCCAAAGGGTTTCAGAAGGATCCTCTTCTCACCCTGCCCTGCATCTCCTGGATGCAGTTTGCCTGAGGGGGCAGCTGGCCTTCCCTCTCTGGCCCAGGGGAGGGCTGTGCTGTGCTATGAATCTGTATAGATTGAATGAGCATTGCATCTTGAATGTCTTTGAAGTTTCTGGCTCTGACCCTTAAGTAGAGAAGTGACTTTTTACTTGTTAGAAGAGATAAAGGAAACGTTCTCTCCCTCTTGCTCTCTCTTCTTCTGTCCATATGGAGAGACGGGAAGAACGTTTTAAAGGCAGCCAGTGTCATGTGAATTTACCTTGAAAGATTTTCCTCTGCACAGTTTTTAAAGGAAATTGTTTTTGCAAAACTTGATTTTAGGATTGTCCTGAATAAAGGGGAAAGCCAGCTTTGTTACATATAATTTTTATCATAAATCAAAATAAGTCTACTAATTACTAAGGCAAACAGAAGTCAATCAAGTGATAGCACTTTAGCTAAAGGTATTCTTAAAATAACAGTATGAGAATAGTCTAAACAAGACTATCCTTATTGTAGCTTAGCTTTTAGTGTCAGAATGCTATTCTGATCCTCACTGAGATCATATTAAATATAGTTCAATGATTTACTATTAAAATGCCCTATTATTCTATGGCATCACAGATTTTATAACTTCAGTGTGTTTTTATAGCTTTTATAATTGAGGTTTTCATAAATCAACAACAGTGCATGTATTTTCTTAGGTGAGATCAGCCAAATATTTATTAGAGCTTTTAAATTTAGTGCTTAATAGCCTCAGCATTAGATATAATTTTATGAAAAATATTTTTATGCTTACCACCCATGAATTTTGTTTTTTTGTATAGGTTGACATTAAGGCATCCAAACTATGTAGCTCTTTTTGTTTACTGTAACTGTAGGTTCTCTTGAAACACCCGCTTGTTCTTGAAATGTAGGCTAGGTCAGTGGTCGCCAACTGGTGGTCCGCGTTGGTCCGTGAGGTCCGAAAGGTTGGCGACCGCTGGTCTAGGCTATTTCACAAAGGCTGCAGTCACCTGTTCTAGAGAAGTACTGGCTCGGGCGGTGCTCTGGTGAGACGAGCTGTGCGGGGAGGGACGGGGACACAGCCCAGCACAGCCCCTGTGGTGAGTTAGGTATGGCTGTGGCGGTGAGCTCCAGCTGAGGGAGGGGTCGGGTGGGTGAGAAGCAGTTCCTGGAAGAGATGGCACTTGAGATGAGTGTTAAAGGACAGATGGGAGGGAGAGGAGAAAGTGAGGAAGTCCGTTCCAGACATGAAACAGCCTTGCAGCATCTTGTGAAAACCATTTGAAAGGGCGATGGGGGTGCCTGTGAGAAGCATGCTCTCCCTCTGTCGCTCCCCTCCCAGAGCACTCAGTAACCTTAGAGACTGAGTTATTCGGTGATCACTCACACTGTTTCCTGCCGGTTGCCTTAGTGTTTGTGAGGATAATTTCAGTCAACTTTCCAAAGTCTTATGGCTTCAACAGTCAGGCTCTGTGGCATGAAGAAAAACTATCTTGATGTGTATAAACACATGGTTTCATGTATTCACACAATATATTCAAGATGATCTTATAGTTTTATTTTTTATTGTTAATGTGATTTTATACATATTTTCACTTCAGCCAAGGATATGTTTATTGATTTGAGGTGGGGTGGGGAGAAAGAGAGAGAATGAGAATGAATGAATATGAGGCATCTGTATCTCTTCGTTGACTGCCCATCTGTATTTTTGTATCCCATTCACCCACGTGTTCTCAGCACAGTCTATAACATGACACTGTGCCTGTCTTCTTCCAGGGTAAGAAAAAGAAGAGGAAGAGAGAGAAACTACAGGAATCCACATCAGGTAGGCACCCTGTGACTTTTCAGTCAATCCTCACGCTTCTGACCAACACCTTTAAAGTAGTTTGCCTCTTTCTACACACACACTGCTTTATTCGGCAACTGTATCTTGTAATACTTCCACTTTGCTTTTCCTCCTGAAATTCTTTAAAAATGTTTTAAGAGACCTTTCTTTTCAATGTGACTTTGTGTTTAGGTACATCCAAAAACTCCTCTCCCCAACCCTGTCCCCTGGAATCCTGGTTAACTGTGGTTGTTTGTTTTGCTTTGTTTTTGCTTCTGTTGTCTATGTTCTCTTTGCTTTATTAATACTTCTGTTCTTCTATTTGCAGAACTCTTTACAGTAAAAATTTTTATGATGATTCTATAATATGCTACCTTATATCCCCTTGAGAATCTTTTTTGTGGTTTAGGTTATTTAAAAATATAAAACATGGTGTTAGGGTTTATCTTTCCTACACATTAATTCAAGGCATCAATCAGTGAGGTCCTATTTATTTCCCCTTTTTCTTTCATTAAAAGTAAGGTCACTTGTACTGCACAAATAAAAATGGCTGGTATAAGAACCATAAAGAGTAAAGCAAACAGGTCCACTTGATGTTGTAGCTACTACGTATTTGGAATGTTCAAAAACCTCGTCAATAAAAATTTGTTAAAGACACAATTTTCTGCAGGTACAGGTCCAAGAATGACAGCTGCCTACATCTGAAACATGGTAAGAACGACTCTCTGGTCCTACTGCTGACATTCGTTATAAACAGAGGCACTTGCTTGCGAATCTCCTTGCTCACTCAGCATTGCTCCTTTAAAGAGGAAACTCCACCAAAAGCAAATTAGCGCTTTAAAAAGAATCTAATGGTTTTTATACCGGCTATGTATTTGCAATATAGTATGCGTTCATCTCTCCCCTTCTTCCTGCTCTGCCCCTTTAATCTTTCTCCATCCCCTTTTCCCTGACTCTGTTCTCAGCCATTCCTTACTCGGAGTGGCAAATCTGCCTCCTTAAAAAACAAACAAACAACAACACAAACCAGCAAGCGAAATGCCGTCTTTCTCCGCACCCGGGGCTGGGTGAGGAGCCCAGGCCATTCTGTCTCAGCTCGGCTCCTTCTGCTCTCTAGGGCTTCCTTTCAATTAAGATGACACACAGATACTTAAAAGTTACTCATTTGTTTCTCGTGAGAAAGATGTGCTCTATTTATTTATTTATTTATTTATTTATTTATTTATTAAACCTGTCATGGGGACTACTTACTTGATTAATTGTATTCTGCTACCAAGATTTTTCTTCATTGGTAACCATTGCTAGATCTCCCTCTACTATTTGCAAGTAATACTCATTTCTTTTTGCTCTAAAATTATTTTTGACCACATAACCACCAGCCCAGGGAACCTGCCTTGTACACTGACTTGGTCTTTGCTAAGTTTTTTAAAACTTAGTGTGTCCGCATTTTCTCCCAGTGACAGTTCTTCTCGAAGGAGCCACCTTGGATTCTGCTGTCTCTCTAGCAGCCACATCCAGGTGCTGTCCGTTCTGTCTCTTGGGTCTGTCTGGCTTTCCTCTCTCACTTGCCACAGCCCAGCTCGGAGCACAGACTTTCCATCGGATTATTGCAGTAGCCTTTGGGTCATTTTCCTGCCAGTTTCCAGAGGAATTTGCTCAAACACAGACTGATTATGTCACTTCCCAACTAAAACAGTCGGTGCTTTTCACCGCCCGTAGGATCAAGAGCAAACCACTTAGTGCTGCCCCACCTCTCCCCTCTCCTCAGAGTTCAGCCTTCAGCCGCTCGCTCTCCGCCCCTCCTGCCCTCCCGCCTGTCTGATGAGTCCTGTGCTCAGGCCAGGCAGAATTACTGGCGGTTCCCAGGTGGGTGCCGGCTGCTGCACGCACTGCCTTGTGCTTGGAGGGCCGGGTGCCTGAGTGGAGCGCTGGCCTGCAGACCATTTGGCTCTTGACTAGAACCAGGTGACTCCTACTTAGTCTTTAGAACTACATTTTGGTGCTGAAATGTCAATGCAGTTTCCCAAAGGAGCCAGCAGAGGTTTGGGAACCAAGTAGATCTGAATTTTAAATCCACCTTTTGCCTGGGCAATCTATTTCAGCTTTTTTTTTAAATCCTCACCAAACGATATGTTTTTTATTGATTTTAGAGAGAGAGGAAGGGAGGGAGAGACACACACATCAATGTGAGAGAGAAATATTGGTTGGCTGCCTCCTGAACGTGCCCTGACTGGGGATTGAACCTGAAACCTATGTATGTGCCCTGACCAGGAATTGAACCTGCAATCTTTTGGTGCATGGGATGATGCTCCAACCAACTGGGCCACCCGGCCAGGCCTCTACTTCAGCTTTTTCATCTTCGTTCTCCTCATCTGTGAAATGGGGATGGTAAGACCTACCACCTGCAGTTGTTTCTGTGCCACAGGTGCCTGCCTTCCTCCTCCACCCTCACTGAGACCCGACTTGGGTGCTCTCTCCTCTGTGCAACTCCCTGATCTTACTCAGATTCCCAGGTTCTTCAGAATCCCATCACCGTAGTTCTGTGATATCAAAAGTCTTCTAACCCTGGCCAGGTAGCTCAGTTGGTTAGAGCATTGTCCCCACCTAGGAAGGTTGTGGGTTCAATCCCCAGTCAGGGCACATATAAGAATCAACCAATGAATGCATAAATGAATAGAACAACAAATCTCTCTCAAAATCATTTAAAACACAACTCTTCTAAACTAATGCAGAGAGGCAGGCTTTTCTCTGAGTGAAAAGAGGGCCATTCCTTCATCGAGGTGTCCAAACAAAGAATCCAAAAAATGTCACAGATGCTCATCTTTAATTCAGCCTGACAGCTATGATCCTAGGACCTATTCTGAAGCCTCCCCACTTGGTGATGAGGAGCAAGGAGCAGAAAGGTGACTTAATCACCAGCCCTGCCTCCAGAAGCTCATGGCTTCTATCATAATAGAAGTAATTCTAGTAACCATCACACACACGAGCTTGTGTGGGATTTTTTGCACTCTTTTTGAGTACTGACGCAGGTCTGGACAGCAGTCTTTCCTTCTGTGCTCTTCCCCCAAAGGGGAGATCCTCCAAAGTGCAGTGTGCTGAGGACTGACCTTCACAGACTCGCTCCACCTTCTATTTGCATCCAAATCTCTAATGCTGTTTCTATTAAAAACCATGGAAAATGTATTACTATACTTCAGAGTTTGTATTTGGTTTTGTGTCCTTATTGATTAACATTACCTAGTATTTTCCATTAGAAGATTAAGCAGAGTTTGTGTCCTAGAGTGAGTGTATCCCAAACAACTTTTTTAAAAAAATAAGTCATAACTATCATTGTGCTTTCTTGTCACTTTTTCTAAAGTTAAGGTGTCCTCTCTAATCTGAATTTTAAATCCACCTTTTGCCTGGGCAATCTATTTCAGCTTTTTGCAGTAGCCTTTGGGTCATTTTCCTGCCAGTTTCCAGAGGAATTTGCTCAAACACAGACTGTGTGATCCCAGAAGAAAACAAAATAAAGTGGGCCCCACCCTCTTCCAGCCAAAATTCCCACCAGCTGCTTGTGGGGCTCCAGACGGTGGGGCTTCCCTGGCTGCTGGGCCGTCCTTCAGCCTTTGAAGTCACTGTCCCCTCACTGTCCTGCTTCGGAGAGCTGCACTGGTGGTCCCTTGATAAGAATTACTGAGCAGCCCTAGCTGGTTTGGCTCGGTGGATAGAGCATCGGCCAGTGGACTGAAGGGTCCCGGGTTCGATTCCAGTCAAGGGCACATGCCTGGGTTGTGGCCTCGATCCGTGGGGCATAGTGCAGGAGGCCTATCAATGATTCTCTCTCATCATTGATGTTTCTATCTCTCTCTCCTTCTCCCTTCCTCTCTGAAATCAATAAAAAATATATGCATATATAAATATAAATAAATATATAGAGAGAGCAGAAAGGAGCTAAGACTTGCATTCATAAAGATTTCAGTAAATTACGAATAATATCTCTGCTCTTCCCCCACCTTCTCTTTGTGTTAGGAATTCAGGAACTGTGATAGGTATAGTAGTTGACTTGTTTCGTCATCATTCAGCAGGCACTGAGCACCAACGGAAGCCAGGCTGTGAGAGACCTGGAAGTAGAGTGCTGGACTTGGCGCGGGAGCTCCCTGCTCTCACGGTGCTCATACTGCTGCGTGCCGGGTGGTTGATGAAGAATGAATGGGGAAGTATATACGCTGTAATCAAAATGAAGCGGGGATTGGGCTTGGTGTCTGCTTCAGGCTGGCTGCTCAGAAAGGGCCTTTCTGAGGATGTAACACTTGGGGACACCCAGTTGTTACCCTGAGAAATGGAGGGTGTTCTGTGTATGGTGCTGAAATAGAGCAGTGGCAAAGCAAGGAAAGGCAAGGAAAGAGAGCCTTGTGTTGCAGGAGGAGCTTGGACTAGGAGTGAGGCCCCGGCCCCTCACGTCACCCCTGAGTAAGCTGTGGGGCCTGGGGCGGGTCATTTCCAATCAGTGTGCCTCTGGCTCCTTGTGTGGCAGGACTGAGAGGGCTCCCACCAGCTTCCTAGCCTGCTTTGCTCCCCGTGGTCTGCACTGCCTCCCAGTGTTGTCAGAGTGACTCGGGTCTCTTTTATATTCACTAGTCTGCAGTCTGCATTCTGTGCCTGGGTGGTTTGTAACCATTACACACCTGTGTGATCTCGGATGACTTGTACCCACAGTGGCTGTGTTATGTTCCTGCAAAGGTCGCCCTGCCTACCCCCTTCTTCCCAGGCCAGGGCCTGGATGCTCTGCTTCTATGGGTTTGATTCTCCGCTGACATGATCAAGTGGCTCCATTTGACAGTCTTGAGCAGGGGTCCTCGAACTACAGCCCGCAGGCCACATGCGGCCTGCCGGGTGTTTTTGCCGCCGCTGCCTGTTGCTGAATTTGTTCATAGTTTTTTTTTAAACTATAGTCCAGCCCTCCAACGGTCTGAGGGACAGTGAACTGGCCCCCTGTTTAAAAAGTTTGAGGATCCCTG